GGCTTCTGAATTATAAGATCACACTGCTTTCCAGCCTGACCTGCTTGTTGTTGTCAGGTGCCATGAACCGACTCATAGCGACCCCATGCACAGCAGAACGAAACAATGTCTGATCCTGGGCCAACCTCACTACTGCTGCCACACTTGAGTCCATCAATAATGCCACTCGGCTGACCCATCATGTTGGGGGTCTTCCTCTTTTTCTCCAACCCTCCATCTTACCAAGCATGATACCCCTCTCCAGTGACTGTTCCCTCCTGACAATATGTCTAAAGTATGAGAGACAAAAGTTTAGCCATCTTGGCCTCCAAGGATAACTCTGGCTGCACGTCTTCCAAAACAGAACTATTGGTTCTTTTGGCAGTCCATGGCACTTTTAGTATTCTCCTCCAACACCACTAAGATACACAAAATAGAAACTTGTCTTTGTGGGAATGTTGATGACTTTCATGGATTAAAATTTAATTAGAAGTTTTTACTACTTTGTTTCCTGAACCCATCCATTTATCCACCCATTTAAGCAACTAGCCATCCACCTATCCACCCATCTACTGACCCATCTGCCTACTCATCCATGATCCATCTATCCATTCACCCACCCACCCACCTATCCATCAACCATTCATCCAACCAAATGTCCATCTATATGGACCATTCATCCAAATGTCCACTCACATTTCAATTTGAACACACACAAATAAAACAAAATCCCTTACTTTAGGGATGGCATATGCCAGTGGAAGAGGATATGAAGAGGACACACACACAGATAGTATATATATATATTTTGTTGTTGTTGTTGTTGCTTAGTCAATTCTGACTCACAGCAACCCTGTGTGTTTTCACAACTATAAATCTTTGTGAGAAAAGAAAGCCTCATATTTCTCCAGTGGAGCAGCTGGTGCACTTGAACTTCCAACTTTGTGATTCACATTTCAGTGCTAATCCTATTGAACCGTCATAATTATATATATATATACACACCCACACATTATTTACACATGTGCAATAAGGCTTTCTTGTTGCTGCTACTTTCTGTGGAGTCTCCTGCAGCTATCTTTAAATACACATATACTATTGTAAGGTGCCGTCGAATGGGTTCCAACCCATAGTGACCCTATGCACTACAGAATGAAGCACCACATGGTCTTGCACCATCCTCACAATTACTGCTGTACTTGAACCCATTGTTTCTGCCACTATGTCAGTCATCTCACTGGGGTCTCCCTCTGTCCCTCCAATTTACCAAGCTTGATTTCCTCCTCCAGGCACTGGTCGCTCCTGATAATATGTCTGAAATAAGAGAGATGAAGCCTGGCCATCTTGGCTTCTAAGGAGCACTCTGGCTGTACTTCTTCCAACACAGATTTGTTTGTTCTTCATGAAGGCCCATCGCACCTTCAATATTCTTCTCCAACACCACAACTCAAAGGCATCAATTCTTCCTTATTCAATGTCCAGCTTTCACAAGCATATGAAGTTATTGAAAATATCATGGCTTAGGTTAGGTACCCCTTAGTCCTGTAACTGATAACTTTGCTCTTGAACACTTTAACAAGGTCTTGTGCAGCAGATTTGCCTAATGCAAAAAAATACATCGTTTGAT